TGCTATGAGTTGGATCCAACTTGACAGCAGTGAGTTTTGTTTTTTTGTTTTTGTTTTTGTAGTTCTATTTTAGAATCAGCTTCTGGTGTTTACAGATATACTAGTGGGATTATGATTGGAAGTCCGTGGAATCTGTAGAGCCATTGGGAAAGAATCCACGCAGCATTCACTAGGTGCCACATTATTACGAACTCTTGGGTTACATCAGTGAGCAAAATGAAGATCCTTGCCCCCTGTCGATTACAGTTTGAGGGATTTTTTTTTACGTTTCTGATGATTCCCTTTAGACAGATTCCTGGAGATAGAATTACTGAATTACTGTGTCAATATGAATTTTATCAGGCTTCTCAGACATACAGCTACATGGCTTTCAGCTCAGCAGCTATTCCTCTTGTGTAGAACTGAGCACTCTGCTGAGCATTGTGGACCTAGAGCTGTATGATCCGGTCGGTTCCTGCTCTCCAGGCACTTCCTCCAGCCAGGGAGACAGGATGGGCCTGCACAAAAGAGTTAAGACCTATCCAGTGTTTGTAATGATACTGGCATGACATGTTCAATGTCCAGATAGCAGTCCCTACAGTACATGAAGTCAAATAGAGGCCAGCATGGGCTAGAGTTACCAGACAGGTGACAGAGATGGAGAATCTGTGGTGGACACTGAGGGTACAGAGAAGCCTTGGGTCGATGAACAGGACGGAGGAGGTGTTTCAGGCATCACAAGCCGAGGGGTGACCAAAACTGTTTGCTGGGGACCGGCAGGGCTGAAGCAGGGTGATTGGGGGCAGTGGAAAGACACTGTGGTGCTCACTGAGGTTTGGGTACAGAGAGCTTGGGGCCAGAATTCCAAGCTTAGACTTCGAGGAGAGGAAATGCAGTCCCCGTGGTCTCCTTCTTTGCAGGCACTGGGCTGTGCCGTGGAGCTCCCTGACGTCAGCTGCAAGCAGTTTCTGCATCAGCTCATTGGCTTCTTTAGCTTTTACAATGGACCTGTTTCTCTGGCTTACAAGGTACCAGGGTAGTGTCAAGGGTCTTGTTAGCAAAACTGATGTTGCTGGCACGCAGACAGCACTTACTCTGGGGTCTGTTACCTACACACAACACGTCCACTGATGAGGTCAAAGGCAGTGTCCTTGGAGCCCCAGTGGCATAGACCACACTCATTCCCAGGTTTATCGCCCTTTCCTTCTTCCTGGGATGGTTAGAAGGAGCAGACCCTGGTTGCCCCTGACCCAGCAGGTGAGGTGGGTTAGCAGGGGTGTGGTGGGGACTCTAGCGTGCGTAGGAAGTTTAGAACAGACCCGTCCATCCAGTATCCTACATGAGGAGCCATTTTTGTGATAGTTGGGATCCTTGCCAAAGCATCTGTGTCTCAAAATCTCATATGCTGACCTTGGGCCGTTTATTTTCTAGAACTGTTCTCAGGAAGAACTGAGCACGGAGTGGGACACCTTCATTGAGCAAATTTTGGAAAACACCAGTGATCTGCATAAGATATTCAACTCCCTGTGGAATTTGGACAGGACAAAAGTAACGTTCTGATGTTCCTTACTCGTTTTCTGTTTAGGAAGAGAGGTTTAGGGTTCTCCCCTTTTTTCCCCTCAAATGAACTCTGTCTAGAGAAGTGAATGGCATGTGTCCTTTCTCAGTAAGGGTTGTTATTAAGACCTGCAGTCAAATTCCATGCCTCCTGCTCATGAGCTGTGTGAGTTTGGGTGAGTCAGGTCACCCCTCAAAACCTCTCTTTCCTTATCATCAAACAGTATAGTTACATGTGTCTCCCAGAGCTGTTTTAATAATAAAATGAGGCAGTACCCCCCTTGTCACTTACTGACATGGTTAGGTTCCAAAGACCAAGTCTTTGGAAGTTGACATTATTGGAAAAGGGAGGATAACTACATCAGATCACAAAATGGATGACTACATCATTACTGCCAGAAGACATGATTTTATAACTGCCGAATCACATCAGTACATGACTGCCAGATCACATCTTTATGTAATCGTCCTATTACATCACTACGTAACTGCCCAACCACTGAGAATCGGCCCAGTCAGGTTGACATGTGACCATCACAGCCAGTGTTACTCTGTCCTCGCACCTCAGCATTCATCATTTCTAGACATTCATCAGTGATGCCCAAAATAGTTAGACAGTAGATTTATACCATTGTCTTTAATTGTGGTAAACATGTATAACAAAACATGCCATTTCAATTTTTTTTCCATACACAATTCAGGGACATTAATTAGTCATCATGCTGTTCAGCCATCACTGCTCTCTGTCCCTTCTCCCTTGATATCATATCTATGGTTTAATTTTCCTCAACATGAGAAATGCCCAGTGCTAATATTTTGAAAACAAGGCTGATGTATTTGGGGAGAGTGGCTGGAAGTGCTTTTGTCTCTGAGCTGTTCCATTGGCCACCTGGCCATGTGGCTGCTCTCAACACCTCTGCAACCGGTTGCTAAATGCTCTTGACCTTGGTGAACATTAGATCCTCATTGTCAGGGCCATCAAGAGATGCAAGGCACGTGCCCCTTGCACCCGGAGCATCTCGGGCGACGAGCCCCGCTGCGGTGGCAGCGCTGTTATTGTGGGCTGTGTCTCACTGCCCGGGTGGGTGATGTTCCCTTAGTCAGGATGTGGCACTGCAGCCCAGCCTTCCCAGAGCACAGCCCCACTAGAAATGGGGACTGCTTGGCCCCAGTCATGTTTGGAGGACTTCTTGAAGTCAGCTCCCAAACCTTCCAGAATGGCCAGCTGGGAGTGGGCACAATCTCAAAGCCATGAAAGAAAATAAACCGACTTCTTCCCGTGGCGACAGTGCCTGAACGTGGCCCCTCAGCACCGAGTTCTAACGGCTCCCGGGGACGTGCAGGTTCTAGCTGCCAAGCAGGTGGGGGAAATGCAAAGAGGGTGTTTGCCTGCTGCTGACCGCTGGGTGGTCTTTGCTGGATCAGGGTCCAGCCCTTCTCTTGTGTTTTTAGAGACTCCTAGGCAATTGACTCCTTAGAAGGAATGTGGAAGCGAAGTACGTTTCCCTGAATGACAGGTGCTAATGGTTCCTTCATATGTGATGGGAGTGTGTAGAAGCCAGCTACAGCACAGTGGGGCTTGGAGGAGGAGAGGGAAATGGGGCCGTGGGTTGCACCCGCACCAGGACCCACATGTGAGGTGCTTGGTTGCTCTCCTGCTGCCGCCGGGTCTCTGTGCTAACAGCCGGGTAACTGGCTGTTAGTCAACTGTGTGCCCTGGAAACAGCCACATGCCATATTCTGCTGCATCTTCTAGCTTCCAAAGACACCTCCTTGTTCCAAGAACGTGGCACTTTGTAGTGTCAGCAGTCGTGGGTGTAGAGAGGTAGAATAGACCCAGAATTTCCTGAGAACCAGTCTCCTTTTTTCAGGCTCACGTTAGGACCTGAGTATCTGTGCTGTAACCCTCCCTCTGTCCTTCCATCAGTGACATTGTGCATGCTAATGTGAGGCGTCCTTCTCGCCCCTGCACAGGTGGAGCCCCTGTTGTTGCTAAAAGCAGCCCTGATCCTGCAGACCTGTCAGCGCTCACCTCACATCCTAGCCGGTTGCATCCTCTACAAGGGCCTGTGAGTAGCACCAGACCCCTCCCCACCACCCCATGCTCCGCAGCAGCCCGGCGCTCCCAACTACTGCCTGCACAGCACAGGTGGGGCGAGGGCGTGGTCCCACCTGTTCTGAGTGGGCCGGTGCAGCAGGTGTCAGGTAGGTTAGATCTGATTTGGGCTGAGTGCCTGTCTTTGGACAAAGCTGGGAGACTGGAACTTCAAGGAGTTCAGAAAACAGGAATATAAAAAGCAGCGCAGCTTTTAAAGAAAGCCCTGTAGCACTGGAGATGGGGCCAGGCCTTATCAGAGAGGAAATTCCTTATCAGATTTCCTTGCAAGGCTAATGCAAGCCCCCAGCACTGCCAGCCGCCAGTGTGTCTGGTGAAGGGGTGTGGAAGGCCGTGCTATTTCCCAGGAGCCTGGTGCACCTGCTGGGGCTCAGCTCTTCAGAGCACCTTACGTGCTTTCATCCAGGCTCCTCCCGGCCTCTTGGCCTCTCCACTGGAGTCCTTCTCTTGGTTGGCCTCTGAGAGGATGCTACACCTCTTCACTTCCTTGAAGGGCTTCTCAGTGAGCCTGAGTGCCTAAGAGCTACTCCAGACGCCTCTCCTCTGGAAGGATTTCCTCTCCCAGCCCAGGGCTCACAGGGCCATTGCTCTCTGGCCAGAGCTCCCTGCTGGGAGATGCAGGGGCACCCAGAGATGCCCCAGGCTCCTGCAGGGGGCTCTGGGCCTTGCAGGCCGGGTGTTGAACTCTGGTCTCTTTTCTATCCACTGTGGGACCTTGAGCAAGTTGCTCTGCCACAGTGTGTGCTGGATGTAGAAGGACCAGGCATCGTCCCCAGTGCATGTGACCGTCAGCACTTAACTCTTCCCTTTCCCCGGTTTTTATCACAGTGGTTCTGAGTCATCTCCTGGTGATTCCAGGTGCACTGGTGACACAGCCATCAAAGATAATATTGTTTTCCTTTTTTATGTTGCAAAACCCACCAGCTGCTCTGCAGATTTACAGCCTTGGAAACCCAGTGGGGGTCGCTATGAGTCAGAATCGACTCAATGGCAGTGAGTTTGGTTTTTTTAAATACATTTTTAGGAGTCCCTGGGGCAGTACAAGCACTTAACATGCTCAGCTGCTAACTGAAAGGTTGAAGGTTTGATCTCACCCAGAGGCACCTCAAAGAAAGGCCTGACCATCTGCTTCTGAAAAAATCAGCCATTAAAAGCTCTATAGTGCAAGAGCTCTGGTGACGTAGTGCCTAAGGCACTTGACTGCTAACCAGAAGGCTGATGGTTCAAACCCACCAGCCACTCCTCGGAAAGAAGGTTGGGCAATCTACTTCCATAGTGATACCACCTCAGAAACCCAAGGAGGGGTCGCTATGAGTCAGATCCGACTCAACAGCACATAACAACAACAACAGTGCACATTTCTACTCTGACACACGAGTTGCCGTGATTCAGAATTGACCGCACAGTGACTAGTTTTCATTTATATTTTAAATTATGTACCTAACACCATAAGAACACCCAGAGCATAATTTAAAATTTGCCCCTTGTTCTCCTCACTCTCAGCCCATTTCCTCTGTTAGCAGTTGGGTGACACCTCCCATTGCCCTCTCTGTATTTTCACTAGGGCTTTGTATTGGTTCAAACTGGTTCAGTCACAGCTGATGCAGTGAAATCGGAACAGACTCGAATTTTAAAAACTTGAAGGAAGCCGAATGATAATTGGAATGGGAAAAATTACAGGTTGAAGCCCTGGAATGGGAGACTCCGAAGAGGCACAGTGAGCCCTTTCAGGAGCCTGATGCATGCCACTGGAATATTGCCAGGACTGTGGAGAGCAGTGCGTGGCTGCCATCTTTGAGCCAGGCACTGTGGTTTCTGACTGCGCTTTCGTTGCTATGGAACGTGCATGCTGCCCTGGTTTTCTAAGGGGGAGATTAAGATTCTAGCAGGGCATTGACCTATGATTTTTCTCATTCCATCATTGCTCTGGTTCACACCCACATTTTACAAATTTGGGTCCATTTCGGTTTCACTTTGTCGACCACAACTAAACCAGGGAGAACTAGTTCAATGCCCTGATTTTCAGACAGCTGTGCGTGTGCGCATATATTGATTTCATTTCTTTTGGCTGTTCCTGTCAACAGGATCGTATGATTCCTCCACTTTGTTTTCTCAACTGGAGATTTCCTTATCAGTCCACATTAAGAAAAAAAACAAAACAACAACAAAGAGCAATTGCTGTTGAGTTGCGTACATGCTGACTCACAGCAACCCTGTGTGTCCAGGTAGAACTGCAGCTAGGGTTGTCAATGGCCGTGGCCTTTGGAAGCAGATTGCCAGGGCTTTCTTCTAAGGCACATCTGGGTGGATTGGAGCTGCCGACCTGTTGTTGGTAGCTGAGCACTTAACCATTGGTACCACACTGGGCTCCATCGGTCCACATGGATCCACCTTATTCCTCAAGTGGCTGCTCATTTTCTATTGTTAGGTCTTGTGCCATAATTTATTAACTTCCTTTCTGACAGGTATTGTTTACTTACTTTTTACAATTGCAGTATCACCGTCATAATACTTTCATGCATCCATCTCAGTGCAGGCGAGGGTGGAGACTGAGCATTTTAAATCTTGGTGGGAGCTACCAAAGGGTCTTCCCTAAGGCCTTTACCTATTGAAACTCTCAACAGCCCTGTGCCCAAGAGCCTCACTAACATCAAACCAAACCCACCACCATCAAGTTGATTCTGACTCACAGCAACCCTGTAGGACAGAGTAGAACTGCTCTGTAGGGTGTCTAAGGCTCTAAATCTTTACAGAAGCAGACTGCCTTATGTTTCTCCCATGGAGCAACTGGTGGGTTCAAACCGCTGACCTTTTGATAAGCAGCTGAGTGCTGTACCACCAGAGCTCCTCACTAACATAGGATGTTAAAACAAAACCAGAAAACTCACTGCCATCAAGTCAGTTCTGACTCAGTGGGTTTCCAAGGCTGTAAATCTTAAATCTTTATGGGAGCAGACTTCCCTGTCTTTCTTCCACAGAGCAGCTGGTGGGTTTGAACTACCTGTTTAGCAGCCAGATGTCTTAACCATTACACCACCAGAGCTCCTTAATGTGGCACGTTAGGAATCTTTTCAAACCCAGGGTTGTTTTTACTGTTGTCCTTGTTCCTGTGTCTAACCTCCTAGGATTGTCAGCACCCAGCTACCACCATCCCTCACTGCCAAGGTCCTGCTTCACCGAGTGGCACATCATGCCAAGGTATTGTGAAGTTCAGCCTGCTGGCCAAAATGCTTCATCCTCAGCCTCTGACATGTATGAGCTTCCTAGAGCTGCTATAACAAAACTGCACTAAGTGGGTGGGTTCTAAGGACAGAAATGGAGTGCCTCACTGTTCTGGAGGCGGGAATCCAATCCAGGGCACCGCAGGGCCCTGTTCCCAGTGGGTTCCAGGGAAGAGCCTTCCTCATCTCATCTGCCCGCTGTAGCCCAGCTGCTCCTTGGCTCGGCTCAGGTTGCAGCTGCGTCTGCACATGACCATCACCCCTGTGTGTCTCTGCATCTCTTCTCCGCCTTTATAAGGACAGGACTCGGATGGGGTTAGGACCTACTTCACTCCAGTGTGTTCACTTAACTGATAACATCTCCAGACCTTGTTTCCAAACAAAGTCACATTCATAGGTACTAGAGGGCATGGATTAGGGTGTCAGTGTATCTTTTTGGGGGTACAGTTCAACCCACAATAAAGTCCCTGCAGCAGGGGACATTTGGCGAGACTGACCCCAGATGACAGATCACACAGGAGCCGCCCTGGGGCCCATGTTCCTTCTGTTTGATCTTGTCAGAACCCCAGATTCACCAAGGGTGGAGGCACTAGGCTGAAGATCATGTTTGCTTCTGCGTCGTAGGCATTGATCATTGGTTTTACTTCAGGCCGAGTGGATCCATGAGGGTGTCATTTCCCACAATGCCAGAGATGTTAGATTCTGAGAGATGGACTATAAAAGATGTGTCTTTAGAAGGATTTAGGGAGGCAGAAACTGGCTTGAAATACTTTAGTGTTTGTTTTTATTTATGATGAAATAAAAGTCAAAAGTAAGGGAAAGCAAAATAAAAGTCGAAAGCAGCATAAAAAGTAAAGAGAATAAAATTGCCCACAGTTGGCCTGCTAAGAGGTAGTCATGGCTGGCATCAGCTATCTATGCCTTCTGGTCCTTTTCGCTGTTTGCTGTTTATTATCTGTGTGTGAAGGCTGAGTGTCTCCTAAGGCTATCCTGTTACACTTACTAAGTCAGCAGACATTTAGATGGCAGCAGCAGCTGGAACAACCTTTCTGGTGGACGTTCAGATGCTGCCAGCACTAAGGGATACCCTTTTTCCCCAATAATTATGCTTCTAGGGATCCATCCTAAAGAAGCCATCTAAAGGCTAAAAAAGGTTTACATTCTAAACTTCTTCAGCACAGGGTTTATGTGAGGCAGGGATCAGCCCGTGGGCATGCTGCCTGCACACACAGGGTGGTCAGCCCCAGCCTGGCCTGCTCTTGGCCTCTGGGCTGGGCTGCTTTTGAGCTATGGCGGCAGAGTTGAGTATCTACAGCAGAGACCAGAGAGCCCACAAAACATTTACTGCCTGGCCCTTCACAGGGAAGGTTTGCCAAACCCTGCTCTAAGGGATGGCAGTGAGTAACTCACCCATATCACAGTAAGCTCCGTAGACTTTCAGTAAGCCATTTAAAGTAGCCAAAGATGTTTTAATGACAGGAATTGCATGTTACCATTTGAAACAGAAAAATAGAATTTCATATAACTTGGTCTCACAAGGATAAAGTACATAGATGTACAGGAAAATAGGCTTCAGATGTTAATAGTGTCCGCTTTAGGTGAAGGAGTAACGTGGTTCGTACATGTGTATATGAGTAAGTAACGTGTGTGCGCGCACATGCATGTGTGTGGCTCCGCTGTGTCCTTTCTGTTGTGGATACACACACATACATAAATAAATAAATATTCACCTAGAATAAGTAAATCAGCTTTATGTACAGCTCTAATGACCTAAAACATGATTTTTTTTCTATTTTGACATTGACTGCAATTTACCACAATGCAGCGGCTCCTCTCCCAATAGTTACCTCTTCTCTGTGTCCTTCCCTCCGTGCACTCCTGCCCTGCCAGCCATCTCCCTGCGCATACACAGCCCTTCTGTTTTCCCCATGATTGATCTCTCCAAGGAGTGTATCTACCTGATGTAAATGTTCAGCTCATATACCTGCCTTTTGTTTGGCTGGAAGCCACAGGAGTGGGTTCCATTCTAGACCTGAAGGGCAGTTAGGGGCCATAGTCTCAGGGGTTCCACCAGGCTCTATCAGACCAGCAAACCTGGTCCTTTTTCTTTTTTGTGTGTGATTTTAAGCTAAAACATGACTTTAAAAAAAAAAAAAATCACCAATAAAGAAAGCAAGGAAAGGAAGCTGTGTCCTGTCACGGGTGTGTATCAGTTTGGCTGGAGGAGCAGCTGTTCGTTTGCTTTGTTTGTGGCTTTCTCTCGGTCCTTTTAAACCTTGAGCTGGAGATGGCTGGGAAACTCCTTTGAGAAAATGGCCAGGTTTCTCGCCTCAGTTGCGAGCAGAATCCGCAGGAGAGACCCAGCGCAGCCGTCTGTTCAGGTGAAATCTCTGAGAGTGGGGTCCCTGGGCGTTCACTGCTTTGTTCTGATGGGATTGTGTTGCATTGAGTACGTGCTGGAAACCACACTCCCTCTGTGCAGAAAGACAGTGCCCAGCCTCCTGTCCTTTTGTCTGGGGACTCACGAAGTCAGTGAGGCACCACGCCGTGTGGGCTTTCGTTTGTTAACTCGGTGAGGCCAGGCAAGGCCCTGTACTCTGTGCTAGGCCCCAGGGTTCAGGGAGGCCAGAGACGCAGCCCTGCCCTCCTGGAGTGACAGAGAGTGATGGACATACAGTCTTAAAAGAGCCGGCAGACCTTGCATCACTCCTGTGTTCCTCCACTACTTCCGGACGTGGGGTAGTTTTTGTTTGGGCCACTGATTCTTAATTGTATATGCAATTTGTGGTGGTTGTTGGGTGCTGTCAAGTCTGTTCCACCTCCCAGCCACCCATGTGACGGAGCACAAGCGTCACCCAGGCTGTCATCTTTACGGCAGCCGATCTCAGGTCTTTGTGCCCGGGAGCTGCTGGGTGGGTTCAAACCGTCCGCCTTTTGGTTAGCAGCCGAGTGCGTACCCACAGCACCACCAGGGTTCCTGGGGAGGTTGGGAGTAGAGGAGAAAGT